TTCCGACCCATAGCGACCCTGTACAGGGTTTCCGAGGGTGTAAATCTTTACGGGAGTAGAAAGCCTCATCTTTCTCCCGCAGAGCAGCTGGTAGTTTTGAACCGCTGACCTTAAGGTTCACAGCCTGATTCGTAACCACTGATTTTAAATTCTAAAATGACTAAAAAAATTATGCAGTTCAGTACTTCAGAGAAGCATTTGTAGTAAGGTTTAATCATTTGTTTCATATTGGTTTGTAGAGCTCCTTTTGGGAATTTGAACAGACTTATTTGTCTCTGAGTTTGCTTGATGACGGTTTTATTTGGAATGAAGTAAGAGAAATCTGTCAATGACTGGTGAAGATGTAGCACAAATATTTGAAATATATAAATTGCTATATAGATTTCATTTAAAACATAGTCTTCTACAGGTATTTGAAATAAGACTTACATGTCATTTAGAACAATACATTTTTTAAGACATTTAAAAAATATGTTGACTATTATTTGTTTATTTTATCTCACTTGCAAATTATAGTTCTAATAACCTTCCATTTTGATTAAACTTTCCAGATTAATGCATAATAGAAATAGTTTAAAATCTATTGGGTGTTGTGTTGGTGTTTTTATTATATGTAAGACATCAATACGCAATACATTATTTTTGCTTTACTTGTTTGTAGGGTTTCTCTTTTGGAACCAACTGGGTAGCGATTTAGTTAACTTTGTCTTTTCTTTGGTGGTGATGGTTATTTGCCATGGAGTTGGTTCCGACTCATAGCGCCCTTGTACAGGGTTTCTGAGGCTGTAAATCTTTACAGGAGCAGAACGCCTCATCTTTCTCCCGTGGAATAGCTGGTAGTTTCAAACTGCTGACCTTGCAGTTCGCAGCCCATTTCGTAACTACTATGCTACCAGAGATCTCTAGAAATTGTTGGGTTTTGTTTTGTGTTGTTTTCCTTAATTTTTTAACTTTGTGGCGTCCATTTAGTCTTTTTCATGCTGCCAAGTAAGTATTCTCCATGATATCATGTATTTACAAATTGTTTTAAAAGTTGATATTTTCTATAGCTTATTTTATATAGTTTATAAATATACTATAGTTTTCTTCCAAGTTATAAATTCTTAATTATTGCATTATTTTGTATTGATTTAATTAAATAGTCACTTTCATGACTAGTAAATCTTAGAACCAGATTGGAAATATGCAGCATTTAAATTAAACTTAGTATAGTATTTTTAGGACCATTTTCTGGAATAGCTTCTGAAAAATCAAATAAGCTAGAATCTCTTATTTTCCTTCTGTCTCATTAGTTAACAGTACCTGTTGAAGAGAAGTAGGAAGCACTCTTCAATTTTTGTCAAGAGTACTTGTTTTAAAACTTGGATTTAGATTTGTCTAATGAAAGTCATTTAATCTTTGTTGACCCTTAATTTTGCATTTTCAAAATAAAATCCCTTTAACTCAAATGTCTGATGTTCCCATGGAGTAATCCTCCCCTTCTCAAAAAAAAGAAAGAAAGAAAAATTTGTATTGTAATATAAATCACAAGTAATACACTGTTCTTGAACTATTCTTATTTGAAATAACTTCCTGTACAAGTAGTAGCATGTTTCTCCTCCCCTGTTCAATTATGATTAACCACAGAAACTATATTCTATTTGCAGAGCTTATGAGCAAGCTGGCATGATGTTGAAGGTCAGTAATTTTGCTGTCTAGTCACAACTGTTCCATAAATAAAATAAGTGAACTGCAAACCATTAAAGAAAAGTTCATTTTAGTTGTAGTTGAAAAGCTTCCTATCTGAAGTAATACTTACTAGACCCTATGGTATATTCTGTGCGTCTTTTAGATGAGAGAGAATTTGATGAAGGAAACGGGGCACATTATTGTAACCAGGACATCTTAATGTAGAAAAATATGTTTTGTTTGTTTGTTTTTTAATATCCATAGGTTTTGCTTGTTTTACAAATAATGAGTGGCAGCAAAGAGAGCAGAAGGCTTAGGTGCTTTTGCTAGATTAACTTTGATTTTCTTTGACTGGAATAGTATGACTAATGTGTGGATTCCACTTTTCATATTTCTGGCTATACTCAGGTTATTGTTAAATGCTGTCAAGTTGTAACAATTTCCTTTGAGTAAATGATAGCAACGTTTACTTCATAGGACATGTTTTAATATGTTTTATTGTTAGTCACCAAAGTTAAATAATAAAAGTCACCTTATACTCCTGTTTACCTGGAGATGAGAGAAAGAAGAGAAAGGGCTGGTTGGTCCGAAGTGTGGTGAGACCTGGGGACTTCTGAGCCCATGGACAAGGACATAGCCATACAGGGCTAGAGCTGAGAGTGAAATATCCAGCTGATATGAAGTGAGGGGAGATGCACAAGAATGCCCAAACTTGAAGACAGTACCCATTTGACCTATCCTCAGTGGCATGATAGTTAGAACTCGACTAGAGGAAGATTTAAAAAACAAAAACAAAACCACAATTTTGGATAAAGGAAATGAGTGTAAATTGATACAATTTGATGAACTTGACCTAAACTTATGGATGTAGTAGCTCAAAATACCAACTGAGAAGGAAGGAGTTTTCACATCAAGTATCAGTCAATCCTGTCCCCTCTACATACAGGGTAGATAGGGATGGGCAACTCAGACATTGGCTTCCTAAAATGAGGGGGCAATAAAGACGTGAAATGACTGGCTTACAAGTTTTCAAGAGGGATTTTAGTTTCACAGTGTGTGGTGGAAGGTAGAGTCCCCACTGAATAGTTTTCATCATGTCTAGATGGGTCTGGTGAAAAGAGATGGGGATAAGGTTCATAAGATTCAGTAGTGAATAGCTGTTATCATGGCTAATTGTGACTGTCACACTTGTAAAGGTTACAGTTTTGTAACAAACATGGGGGGGGGGGGGGTTAGTTAATCTTACAGTCCAGAAACAGAGGACTCTAGGACCATCAAGAGAGAAGAGCATAAGTGGAATGCAGGACCTTGTCCAGAGAAACGGCGACACCAGAGATGGAGGCAGAGATGGAACATAGAGTTTGAGCTGAGGACTCTAGACTCATGGAAAGAGAAGGACTGAGTACAGACTGTGTCCTTTGGTTGTTTTAAATTATAATATATTCCTGAGTGTTTTGTGTACATCTCCCCCCACCAGAAAAGAAAAACAGAGGGAATGGAAGCAAATACTGTTGAATGATGCTGCACGGAGAAGATTGTAATCTTGCAATGAAATGATGTTGTAAAGCTGATGTTCTGCCATGTAGACTATCACTCAGTTCACAATAAAAACTGAAAAAAAAGGTCACCTTGTATTTTAATCTCAGTAGTAACAATGAGGCCAGCAGTTTTATTAGGGATGTTATAATCAAATTGTCAACTTAATGAGATATTTAATAGGCATATTTGAAAATAGTCTATGAAATGTCATGATGGCACCTACTTTAAAATGTAACTATCTTTTAAATGATAAAAATATTTGTTGAAATATTTGATTTGGAGATACTAGATACTAGTAGCACAAGATGCTGAAACCTGTAGTATAAAATACGGAATTGATTCTGTTGATTACCCAGAATAAAGTTGAGACTCAGGTGAACTTAGGCACAGGGGAGTAACTGGAAGGAAATGTGGCAGGCCATGGTGTGTGAGGCAGCAGGGCTGCAGGAATGAAGCCAGACCTAGGAGACCAGATGCTAAAGGAGAAAGCTGCTATAGGCCCAGCTCAGTGTTGCCATGTGGTCGTGAAGCCTACTGCTATCACAGCTTTTGGTATTTTTCCGAGAAGCCATAAAACAGAATTTCTGCATAGGCATCTGATTTTAAAGTAATTTTTGGTTCAAGCAGAATACACTTGGAACTGAAATATAGCGCTTGGGCTATGGGTTTGCAGTCTTTGACAAAGGCTTTGTAAATCTTATGAGCCCTGGTTAAGTGCCCAGCTGCTAACTGAAAGGTCAGCAGTTAAAACCCACCAGTGGGAGCTGTAGTGGTTGGTTTCTGTAAAGATCATAGCATTGGAAACATTGTAGGGTTGGTCTACTCTGTCCTACAGAGTTGCTATGAGCCAGAATCAACTTTGTGGCAGTGAGTTTGTCTATATTAGGGGATCTCTGAATGTCTAAAGAATTTTACATGCTTACCAAAACAGTAAAGAGCAAGATTATCACTTTTGTTGTTTCATTTTCCTGAAACAGTAAAGTAATGATGAGATGTGTAGAAATTAATATATTTTTGGTTTGGTTAAATTAAAGCTTGCTTGGCAGTGACCACATGAAGAAGGTACCTCATTTTAAACATTAGTTATTGTTTTATAATGTTTATAAGGGACAGTGGTGGTTCAGTGCCTGCTGTACAGGTATCTCACATTTCCTATCCAGTACATATCCTAAGTAGCTACCTCCCATCTCTAAGTGGAGGCTTTTATGTTGCTGTGATGCTGAAAAAGTTTCAACAGAGCTCCCAGACTAAGACAAGAAAGAAAGGACTTACAGTCTACTTCCCAAAATCAGCTTATATAAACCCTATGTTTGGATCACAACACTTCTATCAACAACTAACCAGAGGGCACACAGCAGTGTTTTGTTCTGTTGTGCCTGTTGTCACCAGAAGTTGGGGGCCGACTCTATAGTAGCTAATGGCAGCAAAATGTATTTTCATTAATTAAGGATAAAATAATAGAATTTCAGATTGTTTTCCATTTAAGTTATACATTTTCTGATTCATACTATTTTTTTGTGTGTTTTGTTTTGGCCAAAAGGAGATGCATAAACTACCAGAGGCTGTTCAGCTGATCGAGAAAGCTAGCATGATGTACTTGGAAAATGGCACCCCAGACACAGCAGCCATGGCTTTAGAACGAGCTGGGAAGTGAGTATGTAGAAATGGAGATAGAATCAAAATGCTCAGAATAAAAGCCATGTATCTTAATTTGAATAAAATCCTTAGATATCCAAGTTTCTATTTCTCATATAAGTCAATTTTTCTTCTCTAATTCAGGCTTATAGAAAACGTGGATCCAGAAAAGGCTGTACAGTTATATCAACAGACAGCGAATGTGTTTGAAGTAAGTTTGAATTATTTGCTTTCTTCGTGTACTTAGAATGTTTTTAAGAGATTCCTAATTAAAATAACCAACACTTCTTGCCTTTGATTCCATCAGAATGAGGAACGCTTACGACAGGCAGTTGAATTACTAGGGAAAGTCTCAAGATTGCTAGTACGAGGACGCAGGTAAATCATCTAAAATTGTACATGCGTCTCCATTAGGAACTGTTATGTAATTTTAAGAATGCCTTGTTAATCATTTTGGTATAAGTCAAATACCAGGCTACCCTGTAAAAAAACTGCCTTGTAACCACTCCTTTGTCTGTTTGATGTACTAAGGTGGCTTGTGTGTTGCTGTGATTCTGGAAGCTATACCACAGGTATTTTAAATACCAAAGGGTTACCCATGGTGGACAGGTGTCAGTTGAGCTAACAGAATAAGACAGACTAGGAAGGAGAGACAGGCTAGTAAATATTTAGCTACTGTAAACCTTAGGAATCACAGCAGAACAGTAACAGTAGATATAGTGCTGGAACAAGAGCCCCTAAAATTGGAAGGTACTCAAAATATGACTGGGAAAGAACTGCATCCTCAAAGTAGAATTGGCCATGAAGATGTAAATGGAGTAAAGCTTTCTGGACTTTCTTTTGCTGATACAGCACAAGTCAAAATGAGGAGAAATACTTGCAAATATCCATTAATAATCAGAACATGAAATATACAAAGTATGAATCTAGGAAAATTAGAAGTAGTAAAAAATGAAATGGAACACATAATATCGATGTACTTGGCTGAAATGTACTGATACTGGCCATTTGGAATCTGACAATCACGTGGTTTACTGTGCAGGGGATGACAAACGAGGATGGCATCACATGCATAGTGAAGAAGTAGATCTATCTTGAAGTTCAATGTTACCTGTGATAGGATAATACCAATCTGTCTATGAGGAAGACCTGTTAATAATACTATTATTCAAATATATTCACCAATCATTAAAGCCAGTGATAATGAAATTATGAATTAAAGAATTCTACCAACTTCTTCAGTCTGAAGTTGAATAAACATGTAATCAAGATGTGTTGATATCTACTAATGATTGGAATGCAAAGATTGGAAATAAAAGAGGAAGGATCAGAGTTGGAAAATATGGTGTTGGTGATGCTGGAGATGACATGATATCATTTTACAAGACCATTAACTTATTAATGGCAAATACTTTTTCTTTTAAACAATGTAAAAGGTTACTGTACACATACATGGGCCTCATTAGATGGAATACAAAGAAATCAAGCTGGCTACATCAGTGGGAGTAGACAGTGAAAAAGCACAATATTGTCAGCCAAAACAAGACCAGATACAGACTGTAGAACAGACCATCAAAAGCTCATATGAAAGTTCATGCTAGAGCTGAAGAAAGCCTGGTTCCACAGTCAACACACATAGGAGCCCCTGTCAAGAAATCAAAGAGGTATTGCTTTAGACAAATCTGCTGCTCTTTGAAGTGTTCAAGAGCAGTGATAGCAGTTTGAGAACTAAGGTTCTCCTCACCCAAGGCATGGTTCATATGCCTGTGAAAGTTGGACAGTGAATCAAGAAGATCATAAAAGAATTGACATATTTGAGTTATGGTGTTGAAGAAGAATATTGAAAGTACCATTAAATACTAGAAGAACAAACAGATATGTCTTGGAAGAGGTAAAGCCAGGCTGTTCCTTAGAAGCTAGATGGTAAGACTTCATTTGTAATATTTCTGATATGCCATCAGGAGGAACCAGTCCCTGGAGAAGGACATCATGCTTAGTAAAGTAGAGGGTCAGCATAAAAGAGGAAGACCCCCAACCAAATGGATTGGCACAGTGGCAGCAGCAATGGGCTCAAACATAACAATTGCGAGAATGGTGCAGGACTGGGCACTGTTTCATTCTGTTAGAGCCAACTTGGAGACACCTAACAATAACAAAAGCAAACCAAAACCATTGCCTCAAGTTAATACTGACTCATAGTGAACCTACGTGTTAAAGTGTAGAACTGCTCCCTAGGGTTTTCTTTTTCTTTTTCTAAATTAAGGTTTTTATTGTGGATTGAGTGAACGCTTACAGGGCACATCATCAGTTTCACATTCAGCAGTTCATATAACTTGTTTCATTACATTGATTATAATCTCCATATACCATCAGTTAAAAGTATTTCTCTCTATCCACTTTAGTTTTTTTTTTAAAAAAACACACAAACAAAAAACCCACTCAGGCATATATAATAATTTACATCTCCAAAGGGCACATTCTGCAAGTCTGCTCCTGGCCACCAGTTCTTAGTCCTTCTCTTCTTACTTAGTTGATGAATCTAGAGTCCTCAGCCGTTCCCCCTCTCCATGACCCCATCTCTGCCTCCATCTCTGGTGCTGTTGCTTCTATGGATAAGTTCCCGCATTCCTCTCTTGATGGTCTTAGGGTCCTCTGTTTCTGGATTGTAAGATTAACCACTGCCCTTTTTTTGTTACAAAACTGTAACCTTTACAAGTGTGACAGTCACAATTAGCCATGATAACAGTTATTCACTACTGAATCTTACGAACCTTATCCCCATCTCCTTTCACCAGACCCATCTAGACAAGTTGATAGCTATTCAGTGAAGACTCTTTCTTTCCCCCCACACTTTTAAACTAAGCTCCCTCTTGAAACCTTGTAAGCCAGTCACTTCATGCCTTTATTGCCCCCACATTTTAGATAGCCAATGTCTAAGTTGCCAGTCCTTATCTACCCTGTACACAGAGCGGATAGCATTGATACTTGATGTGAAGACTCTTTCCCTCTGTTGGTATTTAGAGTAACTACCGCTCTGGAATAGGTCAGGTTCATCATGAAGATGTATCTTCTGTCACTGTAACTGTTCCGGTCTGCTTGTCCTTTCTGGTGGGAATGTCTCTCCTCACATTGTTGTGGATGGGACTTAGGATTCCACCTAAGGTCCTATACTCTGTAAAGGCTTTGCATGAGGCCTATTTCACTGGGCAAGTTGTAGAATCGCTTTTGTTGTTGTTGTCAGGTGCCATCAAGTCGGAACCGACTCAGCAACCCCATGCACAGCAGAACGAAATAATGTCCGATCCTGGGCCAACCTCACTACTGCTGCCACACTTGACGCCATCAATGATGCCACTTGGCTGATCCATCTTGTTGAGAGTCTTCCTTTTTTTCTCTGACCCTCCACCTTACCCAGCAAGACATCCTTCTCCAGTGACTGTTCTCTCCGGACAATGTGTCCAAAGTTGGAGAGACGAAGTTTAGCCATCTTGGTCTCCAAGGAGTACTCTGGTACTCCTTCCAAAACAGATCTATTCGTTCTTTTGGCAGTCCATGGCACTTTATCAGTATTCTCTTCCAAAACCACAACTCAAAGGCATCAATTCTTCTACGATCCTCCTTATTCACTGTCCAGCTTTCACATCCATATGAGGTTACTGAAAATACCTTGGCTTGGGTCAGGCACACCTTAGTCCTCAAGCTGACATCTCTGCTCTTCAGTACTTTAAAAAGTTCCCGTGCAGCAGATTTGCCCAATGCAATACGTCTTCTGATCTCTTAACTGCTGCCTCCGCGAGTGTTGACAGTTCATCCAAGAAGAATGAAGTTCTTGACAACGTCAATCTCTTCTCCATTGATAAGAATGCTGTTTATTGGTCCAGTGGTGAGGATTTTTGTTTTCTTAACATTGAAATGTAGTCTGTGATCTTCATAAGTATATGTTTCAAGTCCTCTTCACTTTCAGCAAGCAAGGTTGTATCATCAGCATATTGCAGGTTGTTAATGAGTCTTCCACCAATCCTGACTTCATGTTTTTCTTCATAGAACCCAGCTTCTCGTATTATTTGCTCAGCATACAAATTAAACAAGTATGGT